CCAGGGTTCCCTCTGAGCCTGAGTTGGCGTGAGCCAGCTCGACGTTTTTTGGCCTCCAGCTCACACATTGGCTCAGGAAGGAATGGCTCCAGTAGCTCACCAAGTAGGATTTCCGCTCACAGGACTCCACAGCTTAGAGGGAGCATTGATGTGGAGGGGTGTTCCCTCTAAGGCTGAGTTAGCGTGAGCCAGCTCACAGTTTTTTAGCCTCCGGCTCACACATTTTTGCCTTAGTTCAGGAAGGATGGCTCCAGAGCAAACTGAGGTATGCAGCAGAGCCAAATGGCTCGCTCATTTTTTTTTGGCTCGCTCACAGCTTTAATGCCAGGAGCTCACAAACAGTGTTCCCTCTAAGCTGAGTTAGTGTGAGCCAGCTCACAGTTTTTTAGCCTCCAGCTCACACATTGTTGTCTCAGCTCAGGAAGGGAGGGCTCCGGAGCACACTAATTTATGCAGCAGCCAAATGGCTCGCTCACAACTTTAATGCCAGCAGCTCACAAAGAAGAATTTTTGCTCACAAGACTCCACAGCTTAGAGGGAACATTGATCACAAAGTAGGATTTTTGCTCACAAGGCTCCGCACCTTAGAGGGAATATTGGACTTGGCTACTGCAGAAATTAAGTTTGCTCTGGAGCCCTCCTTCCTGAGCCAAGGCAAAAATGTGTGAGCTGGAGGCTAAAAAACTGTGAGCTGGCTCACACTAACTCAGCTTAGGGGGAACACTGGTGGGTGGGGGGGTTGACTGGTGGGTGGGTGGGTTGTCAGGGGCCAGGGTTGGATCAAGGCTCACCGGTGCCCTAAGCACTGACCAATCTTGGTGCCCCCCACCCTCCTTTCCACACTAACCCAGTCCGTTTCAGTCGTTGACCTGCCTGATCAGATATACCATGCAGGTTGTCGGAATACAAAAATTTATTCATAGGATAACACAATTTACTGTACAAATTGAGCTTTTCACTCTTTTCCCAACTTTGTGGGGGCCCCCTTTGGCCCCCAGTGCCCTAAGCACATGCTTAGTCTGCTTTAGCCCGGTAGCTAGGGAATTCTTTGGGAGGGGCCTTCGGGGGGCCCACCAGCTAATTAAATGAAAGTACAGTGCAGGTGGTAAGTTGGAGCACTTTGGGGTCAGCCCAGGAGGGAGGGGGCCCAGAAGAAACACTAGGGGACCAGGCCCCATGTTAGCTATGGGCCACGTCTGCTTAATGGTTAATCTGCCCCTGTCAGGGGCTGCTGCTGTTCTACGATGAACTACGATGTCTGTGTGTGTGTGGGGATGTAAAATGAGGGAGGGGAGGGGAGTCCAGTGTCCCCTCTCAGCTGAGTTAGTGTGAGCGGTGTTCCCTCTAAACTGAGTTAGCGTGAGCCGGCTCATGCATTTTCGGCTCAGCTCAGGCAGGAGGGCTCCCAGAGCAGACTGATTTATGCCACAGCTAAATTGCTCGCTCACAATTTGAATGCCAGTAGTAGAATGTTTACTCACAAGACTCCACTGCTTAGAGGGATCATCGAGTGTGAGGTAGGTGGGGCTGAGAGAGCTCTTTGAAGAACTGCCCTTGAGAGAACAGCTCTGAAAG